CTTCCAATGTACCACTCTATGGATTATCGAGTAATGTAAAAAAAAAAATCCTATTCAACTAAGTCTTAACAAAGACATTTTTTAAAAATGTTTTAGGACGTAACAATTTTTCGTCCTATGTAGCACCTTTAGTCCGTCCGCTTGTAACCTGGGTCGCCCATTCTAACGAACTCAGCAAACAGGCAAGGAGAGTATATCGCTTGATAGACTCCCTCGGCGTAATTCTCTAATCAGCATTACTAGACATGCGCCAAAATAAAACAACCACGGCTTAGGAAATATTACGTCCCTAACACAAAAGCTGTAATCACACACTCCCTTTATTATTTCTTATTCTAGTAAAAACTATATCTGGTCTGATTCTGTATAGGGTAGGTAAAGCAGGGTTATTCTATTTTATATTTCATACTTGGCGTAAGATAGAAAGCCAGGGTTAAGTTTAATAGACTCTTAGGAACTAGATTGGCGCACTTTCAGATTTCATGCAAACTCCGGGGAAGGATTCAAACTCGAGAGGTACGAGTTGGTCAGCGTGAGTAATGCAACTGTACGTATAGCAGGAAATTGAATTATAAACGTATCAGTTGTCAGCGTTGCGGCTTTTCCTAAATGTGTGGCTCCCTTAGGTATTAGGTAACTGCAACTTTAGTAGCTCATCATTGTGTAGTTGTTTAAAGAAACTGTTCAGTCAATGTTTCTTGCAGACATTTTTCTTAGACTAAGCTCTTAAAAATTTCGTGGGAGGGGGTGTGGGCGGCTCACTTAAATTTCAGAATGGGGAGGGTTAAAGTATTTGTTTTCCATGTAAACATTTTGCGTTCTGGGTGGGGGTGGGGGGGAGCATTCCTCCCTCCCCTCCCCCGAAGAGATGACTGGAAGAAGCTGATTACAAGAGCACCGTTTTCTTTTCACTTAACGGACATCGCATCACATACGAACTGTCTTTACACATGCATTAACATTATCTAAGTGTGTTTTTCCTTTGAAAAACAATATATTTTCTTTGCTTTCAACACTCTAACAACATCCTATCGTTGTCAAAAACTGAATAATGTATTCGTCAATTTAGATGAAATATTGAATAATTACAATTTGTTTTTAACTTGAAGAGCATATGCACGTAAAATATGAAACGAAAACTCACCATCAACTTCCATTCGTCCAGCTTGGATTTGACAGACTCTGACTTCGATAAACGAATCCTGTTCAAGTTACAGATGGTGACAGCCGGAAGTTCCAGCTCATGGTCAGCTTCTATAGACAGGCCTATGGAGGAGGGGTATGAGTAGTACGTGTTCACCGTCTGGCTAATCTGGTAAAAGGCGTAGCTCAAGGCCGCGATGACCAGCCCTGTCCAGATTAGTTTAATCCACAGCTGTTTGCTGACCGCGGCCCTTTTGATGCCATGCATGGTGGTCATCTGGCCAAAGTCCTGGTATATCTCATTGATGAGGTTGATTTCGTGGAATTTGAACTTCGTCATGTTTTTTTGTTTTCCTTTAACTGTTTCTTAAGAGTAATAATAGACGAAAAACTTGTTCTCGATATACCTGTGATGGATTTAAAAACAAAGAAAACATGGTTAGATGTCAAATCCGGAAATTTTAGAAGAAATAAAGAAATATGTGTTTTATAATATAGATGTGTAGTAAACAAAATTTCTTAATAAAAACTAACAAAAATCAGATAAACTCCACCTGGAATTGTATTGTTGTTATAAAATTGAAGCACGACGCTTTAAGATATAACAATATTTAAGCAGTAACGCTTATTTAGTTAGAATATTTTGTGTTAAGCGTTTCTTGCCTTCCCCAACTTGAGTTGGGCACTCATTAGAGCTGGGTGAACCACAAGACCTCTGCTGTCGTCACGAACTCGGGAATCGAACTCTGGACTAGGGTTTGGTTCAGCAATCGTGTGGGACTCCACGACACCTTTTCAACAATTAAAGTTTCTACATAACGCGGTCTTGACATATTAAACTTGAACTCGGTAGATAGACCACACCAGATGTACCGTATGTTGTGAATGATGTCATGAGTGAAGATATGGAAACGATTCTAAAACTCTTCATGTTGTGCTGGTAAATTTCATAGAGATAGTCACATTTTCAATTTTTAAACCTGATATTTTTCAGTGGAGATTTTGTAAGTCTTAAGTAAAAGTAAAATCTGCGGTCAAACAGTGGAAATGTCTTTTATGTTTTGCCTAGGACAAAAGACGCATGCATTATTTTTTAAATTAAGGATTGACGAATCATTATTTAACATTAGGGAAACAGGGAACTTTTGAAAAGGCATGATACATCTGCCGATGCATCTAAAAGATACGCAAAGGTACCAATTTAAATGGTACCCAATTATGCATAGACTAGATGTGTATGCTTAATTGTTGTATTTCTAGAGTTTATAAATAAATAAATAAATATATATATATATGTATATATATATATATATATATATATATATATATATATATATATATATATATATATATATATGTTACGGTCAAAGCCCGAAGTCGGCCAATGCTAGGATTGGCCGGCCAATCCGCGCATTGGCCAATATCGCCTCCCATAGGTCGGTCAATGTCCGAAACTTTGCTTGATTTCGGCCTTTGGCCGGCCAATCCGCAGACTGGCCATGGCGGACCAGCCAAAGTCTGAAATAGCTCTTGATTTCGACCTTTGGCCGGCCAGTCCGCGGACTGGCCATGGTGGACCGGCCAAAGTCTTAATTAGAAGATCATCTGGCTAGGGACGACCGGCCAAAGTCCGAATTAGAAAATCATGAGCAGATTTTGGGTTTTTTAATGCCGTAAGGATCATGAAATTAAGTTTAAATTGATTATTAATTAAAGTAAATGACAGAAACATTCAAATTTTTTATTGTACTATAGTATCAATCAATCAATATTATCATTTGTTACAACAAGTTGAACTTTTATGGCATTTAGAATTACATAGCAGCTTGTTATTTTTACACTTGCAGCGATTTGTTGTGCACTTGGTTGTGCAATTGCAGCGAGTGTAGCCTTGGCCCCCAGTCAATGATTGTGAAGATGCGATGGTTCGTAGTGATTTTTCCTCAGTGCCAACTGACGACAATAAGAGCAGTTTTTCGTGAAGAATTGAAAACTCACTTCTAGCATACAGTTGTTTTAGAACACCATGTTCCGTTCCTAATTTGTAGAAACCGCCCTCGACTCTCATGACAATTGCAATCACGCTTCGGGGATCACTGTGACCTCTGTCAACATCTGGAACACGGATGCGTACATTGTCACCCACTTCACCATCTTTAAATTTTGTATTTGATGTTTTAAGCATCTTAGCACCTTGAATTTGCAAGCCAGTATGAGCTGCTGATCTGTGTTCCATGATGTCTTGTTTGTTGTGACACAATCTGCAGGTAATATTCCCTCCGTACCCTTTGGCTACTCCACAAATAGCATGGACATTGTTGCCACAGGATCCACAAGAATGAGCGGTACAAACAAGAGCTAAACAATACATTACTCACAATGAAACCGCACCCAGAATAATGAAAACGCGATCACAACTTAGTCTAGATAGAACATTGGCCAGGACATCCCGGCCAATGCGCGCATTGGCCGGCCAATGTACAAAATACGCTGTCAAGTTTAAGCACTTCGGACTTTGGCCAGTACGTCCCGGTCAGTGCGCGCATTGGCCGGCCAATGTACGAAATACGATCATAGTTCTAAGTTCTTCGGGCTTTGGCCAAGAGAGCCGGCCAATCCGCGCATTGGCCGGCCAATCCGGGGTTTGGCCGCACTTCGGGCTTTGACCGTAACATTATATATATATATATATATATATATATATATATATATATATATATATATATATATATATATATATATTATATGTAAAGGTTTGAGTTGAGGCGTTATGTATTGGTAAAACATCTGTACACGTCAAAAAGAGGTACTGCTATTGTAAATTTGAACAACTCCTCAAAAGCTGATGATGAAAACTGTAAGCGGACATGGCAAGGCAAACTGAACCTGTAAATTACACGTCTAGCTTAAAAAAAACATGTTCGAGGTGAGTGATTGTTGGACCTGCCCACAGTGTCTGTAGCTGACCCCCCACATCTTGTAGTACGTCTACAAGTACTTATATGTAGCACCAAACAAAACTTGCACAGGACTCTGACACTTTCCTGACGCTGCTGTGAGTTCTTGATTTTTTTAGAACCACAACGGTTTGGTTAAAAACTAAAGACTAGATATCAGTTCAAAATCGCAACATTTTCGCAATCGATGTTCTAGTTTGTTATATAAAGTGTATTAATCTCGAACTAATCAGTACTTGTGTACTGTGAATTATTTTATATTTTATTTTTAACTCAGAATAGAACCCGGGTGACATATAACTATTACAAAGATATTGCTGTATCAGCCCCGTCCCATTTTATTATTTATTGATGATAATTAATTCAAATTGTAATTTTATATAAAGTTTATCGGATACATGCACAATGTTCAAAATGTAATTTTTTTAAATTTTTATAAAAGTAGAATATAAGTTATGGCTCTTTATATATGCTTACACATTTTTGGATGTTTTAAATTATACATAGATGTACCTTTTAAAAACAACACCAAATACTGTGTATATTTGGCGCTAATTATCGCTTATCGTGTTAAAAAAAACTGTTTATATTTAAAAGATGCACAATTTCCAATAACGTAACTAATGTACTTACTTTTAAGCGCCGATCTAAACGGTTTTTACTGAAGTATCCATATTCGTTATTGAATGGCGCACAATAATCCAAAAAAAACGACTTTATCATGAACACTTAACATGATCATTACTAAACTACTCTAGGACATAGAGCCAGGACATAGAGCCAGGACATAGAGGCAGGACATAGAGGTAGGACATATAGGCCTGACTGTAACAAGGACATCCGGTTGTGTCAACAGAATCAGCCGAGGGTTGTATCCAAAGAATTGTCTATCCGCACAAGCAAGTCATGCTGTTTATTCAATGCGTTCGCAGTTTTCGCCCCGTGTCAGAAGAAGCGGGGTAGGGGAAATGAGGGTAGTTGGGGGATGGGGCCCTTAGATGAATGGTAAAGTATTAGTTCTCAAGATGTTGCGCCGTTACGACACATTGCTGGTGTAGTTTTTTAATTTGAGCGATGTTTTTTTTCAAAATTGTTACATTGACGAAGTTACCATTGTAAATCGGCGGTAGCAACTTGTGTTTTTTTAATCATATAATTTATTTATATATGATTTATTTAATTAAGATAAATCTCGATCAGATATTATACTTAACATATACAATTATTAAAAAAAAGGTTTAACGTTATAGAGAGCTTATCTGTTACCTAGAACTTAGTTTATAATTACTCTGATACTATATGCGATATCATTAGTGTTTCTTTCAAACTATTATTCTCCGAGGGAAGGGGGAGTATTTTTAACTTTCAGGGAGGGTGGGGGGACTAAATTTTCTGGGGAGGGGGTGGGCGAACACTGGTAAATTATATATTTTCTATAGAAATTCTATTTCCTTCGGAGTTGTGGGTGGGGCGGACCTTCCATGAAGAGATGCCTGGAAGAAACTGTAAATCATCAGGAAAAAAAAACAACTTAAATTTTAAAACAGTTTTTTGTCCACGTTTATATAAAGACAATCGCACATAGATTATCAAAACATAAAAACGTACATGGATCTTGAAATATTTAGTCATACTAAGATTATTCACAAAGTATTTTAACCCTGTCTCCGTTGTTTAGAAACATTTCTTTGATAAAAAGGCAAAGTCCAGTTTGGTCCATGGGACTAGTGAAGTAGATGTAACCTGTTTCTGTGACCTCTGAGAAAGAAAGGGTAGTGTTGTCAGCCTTTACTTACACTAACGTTAGTGAGGTACCAATTAGAGATGAGTCGACGTTATACGAACTTGAACCCGGATTCGAACTCGAGACTTTCGGGTTAGCAATCGTATGCTCTACCATTCAACCACACAGACACAGCTATGATAAAAGCTCATACTATATGGGCGAAAAATCGGTATTTAACAAATATTTACATAACTCAATGCAACATAGATCCTCTTGTTAGATTACAGTCCTCTCCCTGCATACAGAGAGCGAGTAAACTCTTTGTAGTAAACACAACATCACATTCAAGAATATATTTACATTCTATCCACCACACATTTCTCAACAACTTTAGGACCGCTGAGGACCGCGAATAAAAAACACGAATTTCGTCTCGCTATTAAGTTCGACCCTTTAGTAGAGGATCACGCTCCGCTGATTCTATCTGGTACGTTTAACCTCTTTCTGAAAGTCAGCCTTGAGACTCAGTGCTGGCCCGGTGACATTTTCCTGACCAAGCGGAACAGAGGGCAACATACAATACAAGGTGTGTGTGTGTGTGTCCCCACAGTATAAACAAACACTCACGCAAAACAAACTATATATATATATATATATATATATATATATATATATATATATATATATATATATATATATATATATAAAGATAGATAGATATAGACATATATAGATATGTAAAGATATATATCACTTATATAAATATATAAATAAATTGAATGAATTAAAGTAAAAAATTCATGTATATATATATATATATATATATATATATATATATATATATATATATATATATATATATATATGTGTATGTATAATATATATATATAATTATATATATTTATATATATATATAATTGTATATATATATAAGTATATATATATATGTGTGTGTGTGTATGTGTATATATATATATATATATATATATATATATATATATATATATATATATATATATATATATATATATATTGTTAATATTTTAGAGAGTGGGCGAGAGAAGAAAGAGAATGAATAGAGTACTGGAGGGTTAATAAAGAGCATACTTTAATGTCTCAAAACAGCCTGTAAGCTTACCACGCTTATATCATACAATCAAACCATTATAGCCTGGATTACCAGCTCTTACATACAATCCACTGTATTTTTGTATGCAGCCATTGTGTTTAGATTCAACTCGTGTATCACATTTTTTTCAGCTTTTTTAACTCTTCGGTGACACCCAAAGTATAAACAACAGACAGAAAAAAAACAGCAGTTTATTAGTTCATATGACGTTTTGGTTGAAGTCATTCCACCAAATTTTACTTGATAGTCAGTGTCACCCGCTGATGACGCTGAACTTATGGTAGAGAAACCAGTCACCGGATCAAAAAGATAACACGATGCTATGTCACTGTCGTCATGGTTGAATGAAAACATCAAATGGTATTTTTATTAGGTGGGTGTGTAGGCTACTAACTGAAATGGCATTCAGATCAACGATGCAGAATAAACTGTAGACCTAGACTGAAAACAAATTTGTTTTGAAATGCGTTTTTCCTCACACGCATTTTCCATAGGGGAAATGTATTTGTTGAACATGCGCAGTATAAGTCTGAAATGATTCTTAATATTTAACAATTGCCTTTTGGTTCGCGAAATGACCATTATTCAAATTCCGAATAAAAAGATAATATGCATATTTTGTATAGAGATTTATTTTCAGCTATGTTCAATTATTCTCTAAAATGCCTTGGTATTTTATTAATGTTGTGTTTCTTGCGTTAAAAAAAAATAATTGTATTTTCAAGACGTGGTTGATTGACATATAGGTAATGTCAAAGACCCTATGTATCGGTAATTAATGGAGGGGATATGGCATATATTATGAGGTGTGTTATGTCTTTAGAATGTTACATACTTTTTATGCAGTTATGGTGGGCTAAAGAATACATATTTGTTGTATTAGATAATATGTCGTAGATCTTCAATCTTTTTTTAATAATGTTAGTATTTTAGTGTATTTCAAATTTCCTAAAAAGTAACGAATCGCTACATTTTAACATATTAATTAAATGATAAAACATAACCAATTTCAGCCTGTAAGATAGTAAGGCGATAGTATGGTAAATGATATGTCTGTGTTATAATAACAAAAAATCAACATCTAAAACTCACCATATTTTGACTGACCTGACTTCACGAACAAGCAAATGTAATGTAGGACTTTTAAAATTGTCACGAAATAATCAGTGTACTATACTTCATAATGCAATTATAATTGTGTCGGTACTTATATTGTAGTCTGGTCAAGGCGCAGATATAAGTCTACTTCATTTGGTATTTCTTTTTGTTTACAAAATATTGTGTCAGGCGCCAACCTTAAGATGGTAGCATCCACCCCTGCATTGTCTTCTGGTCTTTCTGTCTTGTTTCATGTAGACGATGACGCCGACTGACTACAGTTTGTTTTTGGAAGATCGAACGGTCTCTGCATCGTAGATGGGGCTATCATAAACAATTGTAGTCCTTTGTTTGTGATGCTTGGACTGTTTTCTTTGGCAGCCTTATGATCAGTCGGCCTCTTGGTCTATCGGCCTTTTGTCCATGTTGACACATTTATAAACTGCTATACAAACACGGGCTACGGTGTTTGCAAAGCAGTATCAAGTTTGTTTTAGGTAAGGTGTAGTTTAGTTTTAACTCATTGGCATAAGATTAAAATAGTAAGCTTTAGATAAAGAATTATATTTAGTTTTAAATTTAGTTTTAATTAGTATTGGTTGGTGTTGACGTTCAATTCACTGTTCATTAGATGTTGTAAGTGTATCGAGAACACGTACTAATAAGACTTTAACTGTAGTGAGTTTTATTGTTTATGTTAGATCTGCTTTTGTTCTAGTATGGTTTATTTGTACATTGGTTATTGAGAAACATGCGTGTTTTAAAATGTTTTTATAGTTGTTTTTTTTTTGTTTTTTTTTTTGTGTTTTTTTTGCATAACATAGGTAGGCCTCAGGGGCGGAACTTCAGTGCCGCCAGATCCCGCAATGCGGGGAGGGGGGGGGGCACGCCATTTAGGGGCCCAGAGCCGACCATAATAAATTTTTATATAGAAAAAAAAAGTAAACTTTCTTTCATTTTTGACTTGATGGTTGTTTTGTAAAAAATTACCGTAGCTGCTGTTGGATTATCTTTATTCTATAGACACCACCTCCACGCTCTTGTATCTTCTTTTTCTCTTTGTTTTAAACCACTGTGAAAACCGAGTTTTTCTCCTACAATTAAACGTATCAAAGATAAGCAAATGTTCAAACCACTTCAATGACTTATTTCCCTTTTTTTAAAAATAGTCAAATAAGGGTGATCATAAGATTCTTTTAATAGATTTGTACTAAACAAATTAAAAAGCAATTACTTCTCTTAATTATTATTTTTATAAGTAATTACTAAAGAATGATATTGTATAAGAAGGAAGTGTATTGAAATGTATTAAATCAATAATATTTAAAACATAAATAATATAACTACAAAATAAAACATAAAAATAAACATAACACGAGACACCATTACTTACACAAAACTTTCATGTTTTATATTATTTTGACTGACAACACTCTATGAGTGCATCTATCAACAATTATTTAAAACTGAATTTCACGAAACACACTAATGCACTTACACCAGGGGTCGGCAACCTGCGGCTCGCGAGCCGCATGCGGCTCGCGAGCCGCATGCGGCTCTTTTGATATCAAGATGCGGCTCTTCAGCTCCTTGCACAAATACTAATAATCTTAATCAAAAAATAAAATATTTGAAATAAAAAAAATATTAGTGGCTCTTTAAAACCAGGGAAATTTTGAAAATTGTAATTTTTGGCTCTTCCGCTTCAAAAGGTTGCCGACCCCTGACTTACACACATGACTTGATGTTGATTTTTTTTAAATTGATGTTTTTTAAATTCCGAACAGGCCAGCAACGAGTATCCTCTGATTGTATATATATATATATATATGTATATATATGTATATATGTATATATATATATATATATATATATATATATATATATATATATATATATATATATATATATATATGGGGGAGGGGGCCTAAAACATTTTTTTGCGGG